CCTTTGTTCAACACAAATCTTACCTACTTTCATGTTCCTGAATTGGATAATTCTCATTACAAGGTCTTTCCCCATCGTACCACATCCATGTTTGGACTGGACCTGCTGTAGTCTTGCCCGAATCCCCTTTTGTGTGTCTCATCTTTCTTTTGAATCCTACATCCCCAAGCTTCTGATGCATGTTCACTCAGGGCCCAGGCAATAATAGCTGACACCCTAAAACCAAATAATGCTTCAAATATCTTACGCTGATCTTCTTCCCAGATTTTAGTTCTTAAATCTGTTCATGTTTTATGTAATCACTTTGAATAGCTGTTGCAGTCTTTAAGGGAAGGGCCTCAACTGATCTCACGATGGGCTCTATCTGCAGTTTTACAGCATGTTCTTCAGTAGTTTTCTGGACCCCAACACCGTCTTTGTGGGGGACAATCTGCGCTGTTCTCTGTACTCTCATATCTCTTCCTGTTCCCATTCTGATTCAACAATGACTAAAATACCTGCTTTTTTTATAGCCCTATCTTTAAGAGCACTTAAATCCACTTCCCTTGCATGAAAATCCAGTTTGGTCTTTAAGACTTCATTTCCTCTAAGTAGATTTCTGTCTTCCTGAGTTTCTTAATATGTCTCCAGTTAGCCCTCTGCAGTTAACAGCACTAAAACCACTTCCTGAACCATGACCCTTTTATCGAAAACATTCTGGATTCTCTCCATCTCAAGTACTTGCATTCCTTCTCCACCACTTGATTTGCTAGAAAAAGACTTCCAGGTATGCGCTTCCCTTACTAAATTTTTGGCCTGTGGTGTTATGATGATCTCATTCAATTTTCCTTACACCTCAGTCCAAGTGGAAGCTATATTTCTAAAGTAATAGGGGCCACATTCCACTTTCACTATTCATTAATAAAAGCTACCGTTCCTCTAAGGTAGAGGCCACAACTTGGATCCTGAAAACCAGAAGCCACGAACACAGTGTATATGATTAATGGATCTACAGAGCCCATAGTTACGAAAGCTGGTGTTAAGAGTCTCTGGACAAGCCAAATAGACCCAACAGGGTAGCTCTACCTCAGTTCTCTCCTTGGAACTTGGCACAATTCCAAACAAAATACTAAGAAACAGCATTTGGCACAGCTGATCTGTTGCTACCTATGTTAGTTCTTATAACCAGAATTTAACGTTAAATGCTAGGTCCTCTCACACCAATGCTTTATTAAAAAAAAATTAAAAACAACCCATTGCCGTCAAGTTGATTCTGACTCATAATGACCCTATAGGACAGAGTAGAACTGCCTCCATTAGGTTTCTAAGGTTGTAATCTTTGTGGAAGCAGACTGCCACATCTTTCTCCCAAGGAATGGCTGGTGGGTTTGGACAGCCAACCTTTTGGTAAACAGCTGAGTGCTTAACCACTGCACCACCAGGGCCTCTGAAGTTTAAAGTCTGGGCCTGTAGTTCTGTTGAGAAATGCACTGCACACATCAATGAAGTACACACACCTTGGCAGCCTATATGTTAAGAGAAAAAAAGACTTCTTTCCTGAGAATGTAATCACTATTATGGGGTCAAGCTGTACTAGTGTAGGTGAGGTAAACATTCCCCATAGAGACCCCTGCAAATGATTCCAGTGGCCCAGCTGCTGCAAACAACCAATCTCAACGACCCACATGGAGAGAACTGACTAAAGGCTGTCTAAGGCCTGCCTCCTGCCTAGGCTATGCTAGTTAAACCAGTTGCCATGGAGTTGACTCCAGCTCATGGAAACCCCGTGTGTCTCAGAGTAGAACTGTGTTCCACAGGATTTTCAATAGCTGGTTTTTCAGAGGTAGATTACTAGGACTTTCTTCTGAGACGCCTCTAGCAGTCAAGTACGTTAACCATTTTGCACCACCCAGGGACTCCAGGCTGCACCAAAAGACTTGATATCACCGTGTGCTGTTTTGTTCTCCAGATGCCTGTGCAATGTCTGTCTCTTTGGATTTCTCAGTCAACCATCCAATTAATAATGCCTCCGTCTTCCACTCCAGAGTTGCTTGAATGGGTTGATGGATAACTGCAGGAGTTTGACAGATGGATTTAAAACATGGAAAACATATATTGTTATAGATAGATAAATGACCACCACTGGACTTTCTATTACTTTCCCTCCAGATTTGGACTTTGGAGAAACACATCTGTGGGAGAGTTTGGGTATTCAGAGCACAACGTTCTATCCTATGGCAGACAGAGTAAAACATGAGAAACGAAAAGTCTCACTGCACATGGCCAGTTCCTTATCCCAAATATAACCATCAGATAAGTCACCTTCTCCTTCCTTGGGGCGGATTAGGGTAGGGTATGAAAAAACAGGTAGAAGCTGCTCTTCCAAATACTTTTACAAGGAGGGACAGTCCTACTTTATATTAAGTAGGAAGGCTCAAAAGGGGGAAAAAGTTACTCCTTCTACATTTTTGATGATGATGATGATGATATATCAGCAAGGTTTTGTAAATTCTATAAAATATAGTAAAAATCACATTTGAAGAAATACAGGAGAAATTTTATAATATGAGGAATATTGCTAATCAATGAAAAAATATTTTATATTGGCTTCCCTTTAAGACTACAGAATTTATCAAGAGACATAAAAGTACAATCTGCTAATTCCTGATGATCGCAGATATTATCACCTAGGCTTCTCCACCAGTCTCAGTCTGGTTACCTGCTCTTGGACAAAGAGAGTAGAGATCTGGGCAGAAGACAGAAGACACCAAGGATGGCGGGGACAGTCTCTCTTTTATTTTGGACCACAGAAATGACCCATTCACAATGAAGATATCACACAATTATAGAGGGAACCATGGGTCCTCCTTATAACTAACGGGCAAACATCAAAAACCTGGGTAGAGCAGCTGTGATGCTGACATCCTGTGGAGCTACCCTATTGGGTTTGGGGTTGAAGGGTTGAAGATGGATTTAAATATGCCTGTTTCAGCTAGCATAGTGGTTCTCAACCAGTAGGCAATGTTCCCCCGTCGAAATATTTGGCAATGACGAGGGACAGTTTTGACTGCCACGACTGGGAGAGTGCTACTAGCATTTAGCAAGTAGAGGCCAGGGATGCTCCTAAATATCCTACATTGCACAGGACAGCTCCCCACCACAAGAATTACTTGGCCCAAAACATCAATAGTGCTGAGGTTAAGAAACCCTGAACTAGAGTTTGAAGGGGAGAATAAGACAGTGAGACAGTGAGAAATGTAGGAAACCATCAATATTGTAGGAGTCCCTGGGTGGTGCAAACAGTTAAGCGCAGGGCTACTAACCGAAAGGATGGCAGTTGGAGCCCACTCAGAGGCACCTTGGAAGAAAGGCTTGATGATCTGCTTCTGAAAGATCACAGCCAGGAGAATAACATGGAGCATGTTCTACTCTGAAACACATGGGGTTGCCATGAGTCAAAATCAACTTGATGGCAACTGTTTTTTGCTTTTTTTTTTTTTTTTAACCAATATTGTAAGCTTCTGTCCAATTTAACAAACATTTACTAAACACCTACTTTGTACCAGGTACAGTGTGGGGAACGGAGGACTAAAAAAATAATCAAGACATGAGCCCTTAAAAATCTTATAGCCTGGCCGGAGAGACAGGCACAAATGCCCCTGTAATAATGTATTTTTAAACGTCTTTTAGAGAAATGTGCTCTCTCACTATATTTAGCGTCTCTTGAAAAAAGAGAACTGAGGGTCCTGCAAAATACTTTTCTTAGAAAATGTTCTACATCGTACTTTGGTGAGTGGCATCTGGGGTCTTAAAAGCTTGTGAGCAGCCATGTAAGATACATCTACTGGTCCCATCCCATCTGGAGCAAGGGAGAATGAAGAAAACCAAAGACACAAGGGAAAGATTAGTCTAAAGGACTAATGGACCACAACTACCACAGCCTCCACCAGACTGAGTCCAGCACAACTAGATGGTGCCTGGCTACCACAGCCAACTGCTCTGACAGAGATCACAATAGAGGGTCCCCAACAGAGCTGGAGAAAAATGTAGAACAAAATTCTAACTCACAAAAAAAGACCAGACTTACTGGTCTGACAGAGACTGAAGACCCAAGAGGATGGCCCCCAGACACCCTTTTAACTCAGTACTGAAGTCACTCCTGAGGTTCACCCTTCAGCCAAAGATTAGACAGGCCTATAAAATAAACAATAACACACTTAGTTCAACCTTGTTTCTGAGACTAAATGGGCACACCAGCCCGGTGGCAAGGGCAAGAAAGCAGGCTGTTGATTGCCACAAGTGGGGGAGTGCTACTAGCATTTGCCAACAGGAAAGCTGAATGAATAGAAATAGGGAACCCAAGGTCGAGAAGCAGAGAGTGTTGACGTGTCACAGGGTTGGCAACCAATGTCACAAAACAATATACGTTTTAATTGTTTAATGAAAAACTAATTTGCTGTGTAAGCTTTCACCTAAAGCACAATTAAAAAAATTTTTTTCTTAGAAATGCGTACAACTGCAAGTCTTCGAAAAGAAAAATATTGTTATGATGATAATCACCTCCCAGGGGAGAAGTTTGGTATAAATGTGCATGCTGAAATCTTAATTCTTCTGAGATCAGGAGGGTTGTTATCTTCTTTCTTTTGAGTATAGGGCTTTGTGCTATCTCATTAAAACAATGGAAGTTTGTTCTTTTGAAAGTTTAGGGACGATGCATATGTTCACAGAAAAAAAGCCTAAAAGTCACTGCAGCATGATTATGGCTAGTTTATAAAACCAGTTAGCATGAAGAAAATGATGGAATGGGGAGAACGACGGCTAATACCAGACTCAATATTCTACAATGCACAGGGCAGCTTCCCACCACAAAGAATTACCTGGTCCAAAATGTCGATAGTGCTGAAGTTAAGAAATCTTGAACTAGAGTTGGAAGGGGAGAGTAGGATAGTGAGTAGTGTAGGAAACTATCAATATGCAAATAAAATAAAATATTAAGCACTTTTCTGCGTTTGTTTACTTAGCTGGACAGACTTGAGGAAAAACAGAAAGAAACCTACCGGCGCATGCTAGAGCAGCTGCTGCTGGCAGAGAAGTGTCACAGGCGCACCGTGTACGAGTTAGAGAACGAGAAGCATAAACACACTGACTACATGAACAAGAGTGACGACTTCACCAACCTGCTGGAGCAGGAGCGGGAGAGGTAAGCTGCACGCACACACCAGCACATCTGGACGCCTGCAATTCTTTTTCCTCGGTCCCTTATGTCGGTGACACTAAGGTCCAGTGACCATGGACAAGTGCCCAGGGTCTAATTCTGATTTCTGAATGGTTTGTGACTAGAGAGAGTGGGGCCGACTATAATCTGAACTATTACATGAATGTATTTGGGGGGTATTTATAAGTAGGGTTCCACACTCACACAAGGATGTTAAAAGACAGAAAACCTCAAATCTAGAGCTTTATATTGAAACATGATCAATGAACCACCTACACGTGAAAAGCCTCTCTATTAATTGCCTTCTATTTGAAATAAGGAGTCCCTGGGGGGCACAAACAATTAAGTGGTTGGTTGCTAACTGAAAGGTTGGCAATGCACATCCACCCAGAGGTGCCTTGAAAGAAAGGCCTAGCGGTCTACTTCCAAAACCTCAGGCACTGAAAACCCTATGGAACACGGTTCTACTCTGACACACATGGGGTTGCCATGAGTCAGAGTGGATTTGACGGCAACTGGTAACTTTGAAATAATCTAGTTTTTCTTTTTGGGGTTGAAATCCACTGAGTCAGGAAGGCAAATTCTTAACCTTAACCATTTTAAATGAATCCCGTTCATTCTTACAGCCAGTGGAGAAAATTTCAATATTTGGTTGTGCATACCATAGTTCTACAAAAATAAGGCATGCCTTCTATGTTTGTTTGCCAGCCGCGCCCTTTCCCCTACCCACCCTCACCCCCATTTTGGTAAGTGTGCTATTTTTACAGCAACGTGTCGATTCTGTAATGACTAGAACTACCTGCTTAATTTCCCAAGGGTTACATAACTCTTAAAACGCAGCGTAAAAAACAAAATTAAACCTCAGTATATGGAGTCTTGATGTCTATCCTTGCAGGTAGTTTTCTCAGACCAAGGACTGCCACATTTGAAGCGGACACCCCAAATTGAAAAGTTTTTTAATTAACTCTTCTATACTACCCAATCTTTTCAGCATTTTCTTTTTAGATTTTTCTCTTCTTTCCCTTCCCTTGGCTGAATGGGCATGTCTGTGAATTCCACAATCTTTGAAACTATTGACCCTGAATTCCGATGCCTTGAGTTATCAAGCGTGTCAGCCCCTGTGTTGAAGGTTTGCAAATTGAGAGCCACTTGGGAACAGCTTTACCTATCCTTGCTTTGTTATCTATTTATTTACAAAAAAAAAAAAGAGATCTGACTTTCCCAGATTAGTTTACTTACCAGAAAAAGCTATCACAATAAGAGTAAATAAAAGCATGAAGCCGAACAGGTTTGTGTTATTCCTTTTTTATTATTGGTAATGTTTACTTGTTACTGGTGTTTGAACATGGAGCCCTGGTGGTGCAGTATTTAAGAGCTCGGCTGCTAACCAAAAGGTTGGCAGTACAAAGCCATCAGCCACTCTTTGCAAACCCTGTGGGGCAGTTCTACTCTGTCTATAGGCAGTTCTACTCTGTGAGTTGGAATGACTCGATGGCAATGGGTTTGGGGTTTTTTGGTTTGGTCTTTGTACAACCCTTGGGAAAAGAGAAACAGAAAAGAGAACAATGTTACAGCTTCACTGGAGTGTTATGTAGCTCACTTGCAATTTGTGGCTTCTTTAAGCTTGTCTTCTGCTCCTAAAGGCTAAGGTTTACCAGCTTCATGTCTGAACAAATAGATGGCCTGATTTAACATTTTTGGGTAATTGAACAGTGAGAATAAAACTCCATCCCTTCAGTCTCTACGAGTTTTCCAATATCAAGCTGCAGATATTGCAAACAAGTTTCTAATGACGGCATAAATTACACAAATCCACAACAGCCATCTGGTTAGATGTCCTGTGTTTGAATGTGGTCAGGTAAAAAAGTAGGAACTTGTTTGATGTTGACTTTTTAAAATATTGGAAATGAAATAATTTTAAAGAACACCTATGTGAATTAATTATTTTCTGACACTTCGCAAATTATTTGATTTAGAACCAGATATGGCTGTCTTTTCTGCAATTTACCACCTAAGCTAAACGCCTGAGGCAGCACCAGTTCACTTAGAGTTTTTAGTTTTAATATAGATAAGCAGATGAAGAGAGTAATTATCCAGGCTGTTTATTTTTCTTTTGTGTTTTTCCTAGTTTTTGTATTCTGTGAGGGTAACAGTATTAAAACATGATAGAGAACTTCATTGTTTACAAAGTACTTTTATATCCATTATACAATGAAGTCTATCCCAGATGTGTTTATTTACTGACTTTATTTTGATCAGCTCTGGATGAGGGATTCTAATCCCCCGGCCCCTTTCAGGAATTGTTTAATTTTATTAAAACAACAAAACAAAACCTCTCCTGAGCAAAGTCCTATGTAAAAGTTTTTAAAAAAACAAAGTAAAATTTAAAACATTATCTTAAGATGCTTTTGATACTTTGATCAGCACCACTGGGATATGTCACCACTTTGATGTTTTAGATAAGAATTCACTAAAAGACCTTTGACTCTCACTTAAATATTAAACAACTTTAAGGTTTTAACATAATATTTTTGACTGAACAGGTATACTTAGGTTTTTTTTTTTTTTACCGCCAATATTTTTTCTTAGCTCAATACTCTAACTACCAGTGTATGCATCGTGGGCATACTGTGACAAATGCTAGCTATGCTAAATTAAACACCCCCACTAAGACTCTGATAACTTAAGTTGGCGTCTCTGCATTGCACTATGATCTGAGGTGTCCACCGTGACTGGCTCGCGGGTTCCTGGGGCAGTGATGCCTTTAGGATTTTCTCAAAGGTCATGCCTGGATTCCTGTTGCCCTTTGGAAGCTGCCCTGCTAAATCTGCTTTGGGTTAAATCCTCTTTTTGAAGTAAGCGGTCATTATTAGATCTACATATGGGAGCTAGCAGGATGCTGACCCTAAGGCTTTATTTCCTGTGGGCCACGTCACGGGTGCCCCCTCCCCTAGCACGGACTGCGGCCACGGCCTGGGCGCCGCCTCCCACTGGGCCTAGGTCAGGCGCTCCCGGCGGCTCCCGAGAGGCCACTAGGCGGCCGCAGCACGAGCACCTGCAGAGAAAGCCGGCTGCAGCTAATAAAGAACCGGCATTTCTGAACATAAGTGGGAGTCCTTGTGTAGACTGTTCCAAGTCCTTTGTTTGCTTGTTTGTTTCGCACTCCCTTCCTCTTCTCCCAAAAAGTCGCTTTTGTGAGCAGAAAAATAGAGCCAAGGACTTTCCTTTTGTTTCTTCTAAGAGCATGAGTAAAGGAAGGAAGTGAGGCAAAGCTTGACATTAGGCTAGGTGGTTTGCTGTTCATAGTCACCCAGCTTCTCGCACTGGGTGTACAACTCTGCAGGCTGTCCCCATCCCAGACAGCTTCTAGATTTGGGGGGTGGGGACGAGTTCGGGGTTGGGGGGGGGACGTGGGAGACTCTCCTGGCACCTAGGAGCATCTAGGCTCCATTCTCCATCCTTGTCCTGCTCTCTAAGGGTTTTTCACTTCTTTCAGAGAAATGGCTAAATGCAATAAAAGAGATGCAGAGATATGAAATCAGTGGCCGGAGTTGATAAGCAATCCAGATTTGGATACTTAATGAAACCAGGATCCAAGGCTCTTAAGGACTTCAGAGACTAGACCTTTCAAGACCTTCATTTTACAGATGGAGAAACTGAGGTCCAGAACAATTATGTAGCTTGACCAAGGTCACACCATGCAGGCACCTGGTCTAGCACTTTTGTGCAAATGAGTCCTTGTGCAGATGACTTGTTTTATGTTGTCTTTTTGTGTGTATGGGCTCCCCACCTCCATGTTCTTTTGTACAAACTATGACACAAAATCTTAAAAGGCAGAATGTTGGTTATTGTGAAGATATAAACACAGAGATGTTATGACCTGTGGTGTGTCTGGACTGTCAAGATGGAGAAGCTTCTGGACAGTAGACTGTTGGAGGGAGCAGCCTGGGGACTTGTCTGGAAACTGAGTTTGCATAGAAAGTACAGTGTTTTACTTAGATGGCATTCTATTTGGAGTAGTTCTGGTAGGAAGCTGATGATGTTTATAGGGGAGTTAAAAAAGCCCCCACCCCCTAAGTCACTTCCCTTGGTATGGCCACTGACCTAGACTCTATAAGTGCAAACAACTATAAAAGCAGAAATTACCACTTTTCAGGAGCTGTTAAATTCACCTTATATTAAAATTCCACAAATATTAAGTATCTAAAATGGGAAATATATTGTTCTGGGCTTTCTTTATTCTAAGTCAACACACTGTGGTCATAATTTATTGCCATCATCTACTGCATATTTATTTTTACAGATAGTCATATCCCTAAATTTAAAAGGGGAAATGGCATGAACAAATGCATTGGTTTAACTAGCATTATCAATAATAAAGATGAAACTATCCTTCATTTCATTAACTAGGATGTAGATTTTTTTTTTTAAAAAAGCTCCCTTGTCTAAATGCTATATTCTGTTTTGTCCATATTTCAAGTTGGTTTGACCTTTAAAGGCATAATTCTGAGCATATGAGATCACCTTCAGAGTTTATACTCTATTCCCTGTCTGAACTGCAAGACTTGTGATTTTAATCTTAAGCTTCACTAGGACTGCTCCAAGAATGTCAAAGTAGAGAGAACACAGTTACATCAAAAGTGGTCTGCACTTAAAGAAATATTTGAGATGTGTGTGTGTGTATGTGTGTGTGTAAATGATGCGGGAGAGTGCTGTCTAAATCTATCACTGTAGATAATAGATTTCAAATCTTTTGGATTCTACAGGCTCAGCTGGGACTGTATAAATAATTACATCATCATATAATATTGCAGCAAGCCTTCCAAGTGTAAGTTACTTTTTTTAAGTACAAATAAGCATCTCAAGAGAAATCACTTAACTTGTGAAGCAGAGAATGTAGGAGCATAAGGTGGAACAGAGGGGGAGCTTTCAAGCCCCATTTTGGTACTGTTTGTTTAGGTCGATGGGAAGGTGGTTTGCCTGGT